CCCCAATCGCCAGAATGGATTAACTCCGTGCATTCCAGACTTCTTTGTGTGAAACGACCCCAACCACCATCACACACACACGCACGCACACACACACACCTCCCATAGCTTAAGGCCTGTTTTCTGTTCACGCTCCGATTTCCTGGCGTGCGGAAGTGGAATGGCAGGGTGGCAGTAGGAGTCTGCTGGGGAGGCGGGTTGGTGGATTAGTGGATGGAAGGTTTTTGGGGGGGTCATGGGATGGAGGCTTTGGCTGGAGAATGAGCAGCAGGTGTCGCTGTCCTGAACCTGACTGGTGATGCTAAGTGGGTGAAGCTGGCATCTCGCCGAGCCGCATGGCTGAGCTGAGACGTCCGCTTCCCGCTAACGTTCCTCGGCGTGTGCCGGGTGGCGCTGTCGCAGCTCCGCTCCTCCTCCAGCTCACCGGCCGCGTGTGGAGCGTGTCGCTCCGGCGTGGTTCAGTGCCGGTGGTGTTTTACTCCATGCTGGTGAGGTTTTAGACTGGGCTGAACAGCGCTGCCCCTCCCTCTCTGCCTGACCCGTCCCATGAAGACCCGTGTTCAGTGAAGGCCTCCCTGCGCGTCCCTGCGTCCCTGCATGCGTATTCCCGCCTCTCTTTCCAGCACGGAGGCCACAGCTGGTACTCTGAGCATCTTTCTGGGCAACTTGGAGCAAAAAAATATATATAGATAAAAGTGGAGGGTGGTCTGCTCTTTCGCTCCCCTATATCCTTCTCGTCTTTTTCTGGCCTTCCTTTTGTTTCTCTCCTCCTCCCCACCCCCTCTTCCTGCGCCTCTCTCTAGGGGAGCAAACCTCGGGGGACCTCCCTGTACAGGCCAGGGGGATATGTGTTCGTCGGGGGCTGGGGGCAGGGCACAGTCTCCAGATACCCCTCTTCTGTGTCTGCAGTTTACTGCCCCCTCACAGTCCCCTTGATCTGAAATCTTTTTTTTTTTTGTGTGTGCGTGTGCGCGCACCTCGCTTCTTATTCCATATTCTGTCGTACTTCTCCAGTACGAGACTGATGTTTCACTGGGTGCCACTCTGGCAGGTCAGTGTTTCTCAGCTGGATCCTCGCCCCCCCCAGACTATCCACTTTTTTTGGTTCCTCCCAGCATCTCTGACAGGCAGTTTGTCGGGAGCAAAAAAACACGGACTGTCTGGAGGCTCCCCGAGGGCTGGGTTTCGGAAGCCCTGCGTTTGGGATCCATAGAGAATGAAGCTGCGGACTCGTATCTTTGTCTGGCGGGGCTGTGCGTCATGGCTGCCCCTTTCATTGGCGAGTGTCCTACTCAGCCTGCTTCACGGGGTGTCCATTAAATCGATATCCTAAGATCAGGCACTATTTAATCTGGAGTCGTTAAACGGGTCCTTTCTTTCAGAGCAATCATTAGTACACCATTTGGCACGGAACCCTGAGCCCCCCGCAGGTCTTTAACGCCGAAGTTGACTTAACTGAGCAAATTGCTCCTGTAATTGATCAGTAACCTGTGGGTCTCGCCAAGTGGAATTGAAACCAGCGTAGTTGGCGACCCTCCCTGCGCCCCCCACCCCGACCCCCGCCGGACGTGAGGCAGAGCCGGCAAATCGCTGCTGATCACTTTTTTAGGTTTTAGTTTCCCCCGCCGAGACGTGTCTGTCCGTCCCTCCTCCATGCAGCGTGTCGTGAGATTTTTATTGTCCCTGTGTTTCTTCATCAATGCGGTCAGTTCTGAGGTGCCTCTCTCTCTCTCTCTCTCTCTCTCTCTCTCTCTCACCCCCCACTTCCTGTTGCAGTGTATTCTGGGACCTGTACTGCGCTGCTCCGGACCGGCGAGAGACATGTGAACACTCCAGCGAGGCCAAAGCCTTCCATGACTATGTGAGTGGTGTTTTTTTTTTTTTCTTTCCCTCAGCCAGTCCTTGGCATCATTGCTAAAATTGGGCTTAGCTTGGGTATCTGGATTCCTATTGACTGCTGTAGCCTGTGGATCGTTCTGTTTATTTTTTTTAATTAATTATAAGGGTTAGTCTCTTATTTATGGCAGGTGTGTGTATGTAAGGGCAGACAGGTCCTGGTGTGGTTTGGTCTGGTTCCATACCATGATGCTCAGCTTCTCTCTGAGCTTCCTAATCAGCAGCAGACCGTTTGTAAGCAGACATTTCAGTCACGCTGTGTTTCACCTCTTCGCCTTTGTCCTTTGACCTGGGGGTGTCACCCTGGTCGGTCTGTTGGGGTCAGAGGTCAGCGCTCTGCGTGGATCTTTCATTAGTGTTGGCCACGGCATTCGGTGGGTCAGGAGTCCATAAAGGGGTTCGATGAGCCTTGAGAAGAAGCCCTGCAGCACTGGCAGTGACCTCAGACCCCTGACCTTGCTAACCTTTCACCTCAATTAGCTGGCTGCCCGAAAGTGGCTCGCACTCGTGTGGCAGTAGGACGGTTGCGTGAGGCGTCCTGGTCAGGCCTTCTGTCAGCCCTTAATGGGGGCCCAGAGGCGGAGGTAGCAGAAGGACATGAACGTCTGGAAGGAACAGGCGGCCTGTCAGACTGCCGCCATCTCAACTCTGCAGTCCTCATGTTTGGCCGAGGGGTTCTCTATCTGACCAGGTGGGGGCGCTCTCCTTTGTCCCTGAGAAGTTCATGGGAAGATGGTGGTTTGAGGGTCGAGGTTTGTTTGTGTGTGACGCTCCGTGTCTGGGAGCCCCCTGTCGTTTCCTACACGTTCTGCAGCGTCGCACATCCAGGGGGGTCTCAGGCTCTGGTCAAGGTGCTGACTGGGTGTCGGAGGGGCAGGATTGTCTTTCAGCGGACCGTGTTGGCGGGAGGATGAGGAGTACGTTGGCGCTCGCTAATCCCTGAATCCAGGGGATGGTTCGGCCGCAAATCCTGGGATTTTGTGGGATTGTGGTCCTGGCAAATCTCCCAGGATGGGGGGGGGGCTGTTTGCTGGTGCATGTTTCCCAGAGTGCAATTCTGCTCTGTTGTTCCAGCAGTGTGATCGTATCTATTTAATGGTTAGGTACAGTCGTGTTGCTCATGTGCTGCCAGTTTGGAATGACCAATCCTGCCATTACTGGTCTATTCTCCCTGTTTACCCGTATCGTCAGTCTACGCCAGTGTTTCTAAATCTGGTCCTCGGGGGGCCCCCAGGCAGTCCTTGTACCATTTGGGGGTCCCCAAGGGCTGGGTGTAGAATCACTGGTGTAGATTTCAGGCTTAACTCGCAGTTCCGCCCGCCGCCCTGTAGGTGTCGCTGTAGAGCAGCAGCAGGATGTGGGGTTCGCCTGGCAGGTTCGCCTGGCAGGTGCCCGGTGCGGCGTAGTGGGGTTTATGCTGGAAATATTTTATAGGAAAATACCTGTGAGCAAATAAAATGTTACTGAGTTTATGATTCTGACTCATTAACCAAAAGCCCTAATGAGGCAATTAAAACTGTAGAAGGGATCTCTCTCTTGTACTGTTGAGGAAGGTTCTTGGCTGTTTTTGATAAACGCCTTAAAATAGCAGAAATAAACACCTAAGGTGTTTAAAACTGCCTCAAAACAGCAGTGTGGTGCTAAGCAACCACAGGAGTACAGCCAGAACCGATACTATTGTGGACCCTGTCTCTGGTGTCTCTTTCCTGGGGGTATTTAACTGGATGTGGGTCCCCTACTGCTCATGCTAAAGCAGTGCAGTTTGAGCAGCCTCTCACACTGCCTGTGCTCGGGCTCTGCTGCTGCGATCGTTTGCCTGCCCCCCCCCCGCCCCCCCCCGTATCTTTGAAGGTTAATCCTTCGCGTACATGAGCATCTTGGGAATGACCGTCTCCTTTTCTATTAGGGGACTGGATGCTGCGGAATCCAGAGTGTCGGTAGCCGTAGGGTTACGCCCCGCCCGCGATAATGTGCATCCTCTGCGGTCCCCACTGAGCATGCTTAGTGATAACCATGTCGTTAATATCTGGTGGGAGGGGGGTTGCAACAAGGGCTCGTGAGGTGACTGTGATGTCATGCCTATAACTGAGCATGTGTGTGGCTACTTTCCTTGCCGTTGTCATAGCATCCTAGGTGGGGGAGGTGATGTGGTGCAGCTGTGGCCTCCTGTTTGGAGTTGAGGTTCTGTCCCCCCCCCCCATGGTCTGTTTGATCTGTATTCACACTCTGCTTTGAAGTTGAGGGCTAGAGGTGCCCCGTCATCCAGCATGCAGAAAAGGGCATGAATGGGCATGATGGGTGGCTACTGGGGTACGGGGTCAGGGACGGCGCCCCCTTCAGGTAGGCAGTCAATAGGGATGGGGTGCTAAGCTGGTACAGCGTGTGGTGCTGCTGGGGCATATGGGCTGGGGTGGCTTTCAGTATGGCCTCCTGTGGGTGGGTGGGCTCCTCCATCCTTTACTCTCGGTAAAGGTTTCACGTGCAGGCGACTGTGTCCTGCTCAGTCCTCTCTCTGCGTTCAGAGCGCAGCTGGTTCCGTGTGTGAGCTGTGATCAGGGGGATGTCCTTTGCTGTCTCTTCTGTTGAGCCCTCCGCTGGGTCTCCCCGGTACCTGCATGCTTGGCCACGCGTGTGCCTGTGTGTGCAGCTCGTCCAGGCGTGCAGCCGAGAACATAACTGTCAGGGGGAATCCTGCTGATTAGTGACAAACTGCTTAAATATTTCGGTGACGCTTTAGTTAAAGCAGTCATATAACTGAATTATACATACCTTCATAATGCATTATAATGCATTCCTAAAATATTATAAACATGGCTATAACTATTTGTAAAAGGCATAAGGCATTATAGCCATGTTCATTATGCATTATGAATGCTCTATGAAGCTTTCATCTATGATTATAAATGCCTTTATAATGCATTATAATGGCTTATACTGACCATTATAATGCATAATAAACATGGCCATAATGTGTTATGCCTTTTTATAGTTTTTAAAATTAATTTTAAGGGTTCTTCTATATCTGTGAATTATGGATTACTTCATAATGCATTATAATGCATTTCTAAAGAGTTATATGACTGCTTTAAGTAAAGCATCACCAATATTTTTTTTAAATGATACACCCTTAGTTCCAAACACAGCGTCAGTCTCGGCCCTGAGCTGCCCTGGGGAGGGCGAGGTCTCAAGAGCAGTCATGTCACTGCTTTAGTGCTTTAGTCCCTGATCCATCTGCCTAGATCTGCAGGCAGGAAGATGGACTCGCACCTGCCGAACGTTGCCTGTCCCCAGCCCCAGGAGGGAAGACTTGCGGATCGAAGGATTTGCTTTCGCTTCCTCTGACTCCGTAAGCGTGCCATTTACACTGGTAGCTGTATATCCCAGCTGTAACTTTCAGCTCCAGAGAAGGTGCTGTTAGTGAGATGGGGCTTCCTGTGGATCCTTAAAGCATTAAAACTTCTTAAGAGAGATTATTGGGTATTAAATTCTGAGATGTTGCCTAAAGAGTGATTTGAGTAATCATACCTATAGAACCTGAATAAAACTTATAATTAGTATAATTTAGTTCTGGTAGATTCCTGTTCCTCAGATTAAAAAAAAGAAAAGAAATCAACAGCTGCTCCACATTCAAGTGTTTAGTAGTTTTTCACCAGCAAACTCTGAGAGGCAAAGCACTGTGGGTTTCCTGCATCAAAATAATTGCTTTATATAATAATTGCATAATACTACATATCATCAGAAAGGCCAAGCAATTGTCCACAAATTTATTTTTGCATTTGCATTCTTTTTGCTGTATTTTCGGTCCCTACACGATACTCCCTCCCACCTGGAATTCATACAATACCTCACCGCCATTCAATTTAGAATTTGGCAACTGCTCAGGAAACATTTTTAATTCACTTTTGAAATTTGGGGGACGGGTTGAGGCTGAGCTCTACTTGAAATCTGACTTTGGCTTTGGGGAGAAAAAAGGCAGCAGATTTACCTACAGGGTGGTAAATCCAAAAACATTAGCTTGGTTTTGATCTTGTTTATCGCCTTCTCCAGTGTCAGATATAGGAACATGATGAAATCCCGTTTGGTGCCCGCTTCCTTTAACAGGCTGCAATTCAAGAACAATGCAGCCGCTCCGTGTGAGATCTATACCTCCGAAAGGTCTCTCTAGCTGCATCTCCATCGAAAGCCCTCTTGCCATCTTTAAATTTTAAACTGAAGGTGGAAACACTGACATATGTAGGCATTGGAGAGCTCTCTATTTTTTTTCAAGGGTTTTTTGTTAAAATTGTGCCACCCCAAATTTATAGATATATTTCTACGTGTTAAGCCTGCTATGTGGCGCTGTCTCTCCCGGCCCGTGCAGGTCTGGTACACGGGACCAGTGTCCCTAGGAAGAGCTATTAGTTCCCCACAACCTTCCCATGGGGTCTCCGGTAGAGTATGTGAAACCGGCTTTCCTGAGAGAAGTATGGTCTTATGAGGATGGCCAAAAGTCCTGCCTGATATGCTCTCACACACAGTAATATTTTTCCCCCCCCATTTTTGAGATCATGAGAAATGAGTATGAGTTTAAAATAGTGTTGCACTTCTGAAGAGCGTTTAATCAAAAGGTTGCTGGCCCAAACACCAAGGAGAGTAACCTGTTGTATCAGTTTAGCTCCCTCCCCTCGTCTTTGGCCAATAAGCAAGGAGCTTATCCTGGCCAATCAGGCGTGTGATCAGGCAAATATGCAACATCTGTAAGATGTCGGATGCTTTGGCTGTAAAGAAACCTGTAAAGAGAACAGCTTTTCATGTGGTGTTTTGATGGGTTAGGGGCAGGAAAGGAAAAACACAGGATTGTCAAGTAGGTCGAGACGGTGTTTTGGTTGACCTGATTTGGGCCTAATCCCACTAATCCAGGAGGGTGGCAGATTACTGTCCAGGCTGTCATATGGGCATTGGGGTACAGGCTCTGGGTTCTGGGAT